TATGAAAGCGGGGCCTGGCCGGCGGGAGCGCGGATCCCGAGCTGGGGGGGGTCTAAGGCTTGGCCGTAGGAACCTCAGACGGGGGGGGGCGGTTCTCAGTCGGGGGCCCCACCCCCGCCCCAGCTCACCTCGGTCTGTGTTCCGCACCGGGGGAGTCCCCGGGCTGCGCGGGGCAGGTGCGGGGCTCAGCGGTGGGGAAGGGCTGCGAACCGTGGGCGCCGGAGTTGGAACTGAGACGCGCCCCTTCCCCAAATCCCTCTGCCAGCTTTGCGAGAGGCTCTGAATCCAAACCAGGGGCCGGTCACCTCTGGAACCGCTCATTTCGGCGCGGGACACCCCCTCCGCTGCCCCCAGGAGAAGTCCCCAGACACGAAGGGAACAGAAATCCCAGGTGGGCGGAGGGAGCGTCTCCAGCAATATGGCAGGTGGGTATTCCAGAGGCATCAGGGCCTGGAGGAAGGAGCAGAATCCCGGGAGCCTGCTGTGGTTCGGTCAGCACATCCTGCAAATTCTAGATATGCAGGGGCAGTTAGCAACGCTACCCTACCCCCGGAAACAGTCTTGGTTACCACCACCTTGCAGCCCCTGAGATGGAGGAACACTCACAACCCCCACTGCTCATAGCTGCTCTGTGAGTTCTTGGTCAGCTGATTATCCACCATGACCCCCAAATCTTTTCCAGAGTCACTGCTTCCCGGGACAGAGTCCCCCAGCTCGTATGACCTTGCATTCTTTGTTCCTAGATGCTTATATTTACATTTAGCCATATTAAAACGCCTGTTGTTCACCTGAGCCAAGTTGACCAAGCAATGCAGGTTGCTCTGAATTAGTGACCTCTTTGTTATTTACCATTCCCCCAGTCTGCATGTTATCTGCAAACTTTATCAGCGAACATTTTATGTTTTCTTCCAGGTCATTGATAAAAATGTACTGGACATGCATGGGGGCTAAGAACTGATCTTGTGGGCTATGGCTAGAAATGTGCCCACTCAGTGATAGGAATGTAAAAGCTGTGTAATTGGTTACCCAGTTAAACATGGTGTTTACCCAATTAACTGATTAAAGGGGAGCAGGCAGGGAAGCTGGAGTGGCTTTTGACTGTGGTGGGTCCTCTAGCCTTCACCAGTTAACTGGAACCAGTAAACCTTTCACATCCCTACTCATGATGATTTGCTGATTACAGTTACCATTTACCTGCTGATTGTTAAATGTCTACCATTAGAAATTTTTGCTTGATAACCCTCTAGAGCAGCCGTTCCCAACCTTTTCCAGCTGGGGACCCAATCTGACAATTCAGGAAGACTTGGTGACCCAAGACAATTAAAAAACGGGGAGGGCAGAGTCACCTGGGGAAACACTTGGCAACCCTTTTGAAATGTAATGGTGACCCATATTTGGCTCCCGACCTATAGGTTGGGAAACCCTGCTCTAGAGAGAATATTAGTGTCATGGAAATAGTATTACTGCCACCATCAGATGAGACTGTATCAGGATTGGGAGCCAGGCAGCTCTGAAATTGGATCCTGCCTCTACCACTCACTATGTCGGGGGGCAATAAAAAACCACAGCTTGCCAGAGTTAGTCCCTGGTGGGCCGCTGCTATTTTTACCTGCGCCTTCACAGGTCTTGGTTAAGGCATTATTGGAAAAAGTTTCCACTCATTCTGGATAGTTCTGGTTTGGGGAGCTGAGTTTGGGACACCTTGAACCTGCTTTCCAGAGGTGCTGAACACCCACACTTACTTTAAAGTAGTTGGGAACAGTGGGTGCTCAGCATCTCTGAAAAACAGGCCTAAAGAATCCCAGATGGGGCACCCAAAATCAATGGCCAAATGACTTGCCTGAGGTCACACACATAACCTGTGGCACAGCTAGGGGTACAGAGCCCAATTTTGTGTTATGGGAACTCCAGCTGGGGAGTCAGTGGTACAATATGGCCCCCGGTCTGTCCTACAGCTGTGGTTATTACTTGTGGATTACTTAGATAAAAGAATGAGTTCACTGCTGATTTGCATCCTTTCAGTCCGTGCTTGTCTCAGCAGTTAACTAGCAGATTCCAGTTATTTGCTGCATCAGGGACTCCTGGCTTCTGTTTTCAGATTTGCCCTGATGCATTCTGGGCAAAAAGGCCCATCACCTTCATAAACCCAAGTGATTGTTGCAGGTGAAGAGCGTGTGTGTCCTGTTACAGAAAACTGAAACCCACCACATGTCCTGTGGTCCACTCCTGGGCCAGGAACAAGGGTGTCTCTGAATCTATGCAACCATGGATTGGGTGGCCCCTCCCTTGATCTCCTCTGTCCTACATGGGGTCAGCACAGACATCTCTGTCCCTGCAAAACTGATCTACCTACAGCCCTTCCCTCATATAGGGTGCAGTGAAGTGCCAGTCCTCTGTACGGGGGTGAATTTCTTCCTCTGTGTCTCATTTTAACCTACCTCTGCCTCTGTTTGCTGATCCACCCATGGGGCCATGATAGCACAAAGGACACAGACAGTAAAATATAAATCAGCATAGATAGCCAATATCCAAAGCACTCTAAAATAATGCTAATAATCAGGAGTGGGACAGTCAGGTACCAGGGAAACTCTTCCTCATTTAATGTTTAGTGCCTGTGGGCCTATAGAAATACAGCTGCTCTTGTTAACTAGCTATCGTAGCACTGAAGGCCTTTTTATGTGTCCCGCAGAAGTTTGGCCTGGGCACGCCATACATTGGCACAGATACCCATTGGCGCCATCGTGTGGTCATGATACATCATACTCTGACATATAGTTGGTACAAAAGTACTGGCTTTTGGAGCCTGCCCCGGCCTATGGGTATGGCATTGGCATTTACCATGCGTGGCACCTACCCCAAAAAGAGGTGACACAACACAAAATCAAAGAGAATATTGCACTCAAGTCATAGAGTTTGTCAAACCATAAACCACTTAGCAAATGTTTCCCATGATATTTGTGAACAGTCACACGGATGCTCCAATTGAAACAATGGGTGAAAACAAATAACCCTTTTCCTTCGCTGTTTGCAACCCAAACCCTAACCGTAACCCTAACCCCAACCCTAATCCTAACCCCAAAATTTCTTCACGCCCCCCCCAGGGGGGCATTCCTCCCTGTTTGGGAACCCATGGTCTAATCAAACCATGAGGTACAGGGAGATGGGTGGTATCTAAGTAGTATCAGAGGGTGGTAACTTGACAAAGTGGTGTATTGAGGGGACAGTCTTTGTCCAGCTGGGGGACAGTGGGGTCTTCCACTGATTGAACTGAGTCCAATGTTATGGAGAACATATGCGTAGTGCTTCGATAGAATCTACTGGCTTCGCTTATGAACTGAATGACTGTACTTCGCTTATGAACCTGGCACCTTCAATCCTTATCTGATTTGTGGTCTTTAGGGGCTCTCTCAGGGTCTGCTGTGTCAGCTAATTGCACAGGTCAACACAACACACATCATTGAGTTCACACACAAGCAGCCTTTTAGTTATCATTTGTTGGGGGAAAGTCAACATGGTGTCTGTAAAGGGAAATCATGCCTTACTAGTCTACTAGAGTTCTCTGAGGAGGTCAACAAACATGTGGACAAGGGAGATCCAGTGGATATAGTGTACTTAGATTTTGAGAAAGCCTTTAACAAGGTCCCTCACCAAAGGTTCTTAAGTAAAGTAAGTTGTCATGGGATAAGAGGGAAGGTCCTTTCATGGTAACTGGTTAAAAGACAGGAAACAAAGGGTAGGAATAAATGGTAAGTTTTCAGAGTGGAGAGAGGTAACTAGTGGGGTCCCCCAAGGGTCAGTCCTGGGCCAAGTCCTGTTCAACTTATTTATAAATGATCTAGAGCAGTGGTTCCCAAACTTTTCAGCATCATGCCCCCCTTTTTGATTTTTAAAAAGCCCTCACACTCTCCCCCCCCCCCAAATAGCAGCAAAACTTGTTGAGCAAAAAAGAAAGCAAGAAAGAAATGAACTGGTTGGGGCAGCAAAACTTAATGGGGGAGGAGGAGCCGGGGCGCCTCACGTCCCCCCTGGAATTTCTTCACACCTCCCAGTTTGGGAACCCATGATCTAGAGATAGGGGTAAACAGTGAGATGGCAAAATTTGTAGCTGATAACAAACTGCTCAAGATAGTTAAGACCAAAGCAGACTGAAAAGCTTCAAAAAGATCTCACCCAACTAAGTGATTGGGCAACAAAATGGCAAATGAAGTTTAATGTTGATAAATGTAAAGTAATGCACATCAGAAAAAGTAATCCCAACTATACATACAATACAAGGGGGACTAATTTAGCTACAACTACTTGAGAGAGATCTTGTGGATAGTTTTCTGAAAACATCCACTCAGTGTGCAGGGCAGTCAAAAAAGCAAACAGAATGTTAGGAACCATTAAAAAAGGGATAGCGAATAAGACAGAGAATATCTTATTGCCTCTATATAAAACCATGGTATGTCCACATCTTAAATACTGCATACAGATATGTTCGCCACATCTCAAAAAAGATATATTGCATTGGAAAAGGTTCAGAGAAGGGCAACAAAAATGATTAGGGGTTTGGAATGGGTCCCATATGAAAAGACTTGGACTTTTCAGCTTAGAAAAGAGGAGACTACTGGGGGATGTGATAAAGGTCTATGAAATCATGACTGGTGTGGAAAAGGTGAATAAGGAAAAGTTATTTACTTATTCCCACAATATAAGAACTAGGGGTCACCAAATGAAATTAATAGGCAGCAGGTTTAAAACAAACAAAAGGAAGTTTTTCTTTAGTCAGCACACAATCAACCTCTGGAACTCCTTGCTAGAAGATGTGGTGAAGGCTAGGGCTTTAACGGGGTTCAAAAAGGCTAGATAGATTCATGGAGGTTAGGTCCATCAATGGCTATTAGCCAGCATGAGTAGGTATGGTGTCCTTAGCCACTGTTTGTCTGGAAATGGATGACAGGAGAGGGATCACGTGATGATTACCTGTTGTGTTCCCTCCCTCTGGGGCATCTGTCATTGATCACCGTTGGCAGATAGGATGCTAGGCTAGATGGACATTTGGTCTGACCCAGTATGGCCATTCTTATCATTATTGATGGAGCAGAAGACCTTCTGGGACATCACCCCAGTACTACACAGATCTCCCTCAGAGACCGGAAGACTCAGACTCCTGTTTCGAAACCTTTATGCTTCTTGGCAATGCAAGGCAGGTTGACTCAGCCCTTTATCCTCGCACACATCAGGCTCTGTGCCATTTGCTGATTGTGGCTCTTTCAGATGAGACCTTACAACCCAAAGTATTTCCAGCTCAGTGCAGGCAATAAAGAATCGATGGAGCTTCTCACAAGAGCAGG